ACAAATCAAGATCTTAGAAGTGCAAAGAAGGGAGCTTCTACTGGTGGAGATTCAAGTGTGCTTTGGAACTTAATGCCAGCCTCTATAAAAATCTGCACTCGACGGAGCTTCAGAAATCGAATAGGCGTTTGCTTTCTCAAAAGCTGGGCTGCACAGAGACCACGAGGGCCGATCTCAGAAATCGAAGACGTGTTTGCTTTCTCAAAAGCTGGGCTGCTCAAAGACCACGAAGACCGATCTCAGAAATCGAAGAGGCGCTTGCTTTCTTAAAAGCGGGGCTGCTCAGAGACCACGAGGGTCGATCTCAGAAATCGAAGAGGCACTTACTTTTTCAGCCTTGTCAGCACCTGTCACATGCACACTCAGCTTTGCGGAAATTACGAGCATTCTGTCGAAGATTTCTGGTAAAGTAGAAAGCATGTGAATCTTACTGTTCAATCATCAACTTTCCACACGCAACATCAGCTCATGGGTACCACAGATAACTTTGCCAAAGATCTCTGACGAAGTTTAGACACGTGAAGCTTGCAGCTTCCACTACATCACTATGACAAAGAAGGGTAAAAGAATAGCAAAGAAACAACACTAATAAAGTTTAGACACATATATTTTAAAGGTCTAGCTACCATATTATTACCCACAAGGGTAAAGGAACATCACCACTGCTGGATAATTGGAAAGTCCCTGTGTGTCAACCTTTGTGCTCCGTAGCAAGGTAGACTAGCAAACATGCCTAACATTTACTCACATTCGAGAAAACACTCCCAACAAGATTGCTTCTTCCAAAATCGAAAAGGCACCGTCCTTCGAATCTCGAGAGCCAGACTCCCAACATGATTACTTTCTCAGAAATCGAAAAGACACCGCTCTCCGAATCTCGAGAGCCAGACTCCCAGCAAGATTGCTTTCTCAAAAATCGAAGAGGCACCGTTCTCCGAATCTCGAGAGCCAGATCCTTCAAAAACCGAAGAGGCACCGCTTTCTCAACTTCGAGAGCCAGATTTCCTTGGATAAAGCTTGTCTATAATCTTCACATGCAACATCAGCTTTCCAGATACCACAGACCACTTTTTCAAAGTGCTCTGACAGAGTTAAAACACGTGAAGCTGGCAACTCCCACTACTGTGCTATGACCAAGTAGGGTAAAGGAATAGCATTACTACTTGTTATTAAGGAGACTCCTATATATGTCGACCTCCATCCTCAATGGACAGGCAAACTTGCAAAAATGTTCAACCCTTCCTCATATCTGAGAGGGCACTCCCAACGAAGCCTCTCGAAATACTCAGCTTTCTTTCCCCCCCGATAATACCTCTGCAAACAAGCTACACATGAGTAAGAATATCTCATATCATCAGGGTTAAAAGCAAGAGTATCTTATATCATGTTTTTTCCCTGTCTTTTCCTTTGGCCTTATTCTTACCTGCAAGATAAGGAGAAAGAGAGCAATTAGTCAGCACTTGGAATCAAGCTTCTAGTCAGCAACTGACTGCCTGGAACCCCTTACCTGATTACTTACCTGGCATTGCTCTCGAGTATTCATCTTCAACATCTTATGCTTCCAGGGAAGATACCACATGTGCTTGAGGAACAGATAGGGCAAGTGAGAATGATACAAGGAAGCATGTGGAGACAAGCGTAACAGAACATGTGCCGATACATCCACTACTTTGTCAACAGCAAAAGTATCCCATATCATCAAGGTCGAACGTACTCTAGATTTGATGGACTTGTTTTGACCCTCAAATTCTTCAGTCGGCTTTATACTCTGGAGGAAACCAGAAAATCCTCCAGCCCAGTTCAAGAATAAGTCTGTGGAAAGTTACTTTTTCAAAAGCAAAAGTATCTCATATCATATCTTCTCATTTTTCTTCTCTTTATCCTTCATGCTGCCTGCAAGATAGGGAGAATGAGAACAATCAGCCGGAACTCGAAATCAAACTTCTGATCTGGGACTAATTGCTTGGAGCTCTGATTGCTTACCTTGTCTTTCACTTCTTTCAGCAGATCCCCTAGCTCGACGACTTGGGGGACTCCTACTACATGGTTTGTATCGCACTTGACCAAGCCTGAAACTACAAGTAAGCTTCAAGTGAAATTGATACATTACCTTTTGCATCTCCACCAGTTAAAGATACCACCCCTGGATGGAGGAAGAGTACTTCCAGAGAAGATGCCACATCTACCTATGAGACAGATAAGGCAAGTGAAGACGATACCACACTTCGGTACTTAGAAGTTTCGTGATTACGAGATCATTCTCCCACAATATTTCCTAATGTCATTTGTACTAAATCATTCACTTGTACTCACTAAAGGATAGCTTGAACCTATGTACTTGTGTAAACCCTTCACATTTAATGAGAACTCCTCTACTCCGTGGACGTAGCCAATCTGGGTGAACCACGTACATCTTGTGTTTGCTTTCCTGTCTCTATCCATTTACATACTTATCCACACTAATGATCGGAGCAATCTAGCGAAGATCACAAACTTAATTTTTTCTGTTGTACCAAAGTCCTCACTGATTTTGTGCATCAACAATCCTTAAGTCCTTACCTTTTTGCGTTGGTAATGGATGAGTTAACATGACATATTCAAGATGATATTCCTTGGTGTATGCTTTTCGCAAACGATATAGTGTTGATAGATGAAACTCAGGAAAGGGTATATGCGAAGCTTAACCTCTGGAGAGCAGTGTTGGAATCTAAAGGTTTTCGCCTAAGTCGATCAAAGACAGAATATATGAAGTGCAAGTTTAGTGCAAATGGAGGCCAAAATGAGTTAGGGGTGAGGATTGGAGATCAGGAAATACCAAAGAGCGACTGTTTTCACTACCTAGGATCTATCTTGCAAAAGAACGGATAATTAGATGGAGATCTCAACCATAGAATACAAGCTGGATGGATGAAGTGGAAGAGTGCATCCGACGTGTTGTGTGACCATCGTAGGCCACTGAAACTCAAGGGAAAATTTTATAGGACGGCAATAAGGCCGGCGATGCTATATGGCACAGAATGTTGGACATTGAAGTATCAACACGTACATAAAATGGGGGTAGCGAAGATGAGGTTGCTCATCCAATTTACCATTCAATGCCTCATATTCATGCTGATACACACACACACACACACACACATATTTGTTTTGATATTTTAGTACTTTCCAGAAATGGATTTATGAGGATTTATATCGTAGTTGGGTACATGATGCGGATTCATATTCAAAGAAAAATGATCCCCGCTCTTGAGGTCTCTTTCTTGCTTCGATTGATCGTTTTGCTAGGGTTTCGAGTTATTGCAATCTTGAAATTGCATTGTAGAATTTATTAGCATAGTGGTCCTCACAAATCACCATCGATGTAGCACCTAATTAATCGTATTCAATGTTGTGATCTGAAAAGAAGCACTAATTAAGGGAGTAATATTTAAGGTTGAAGATAAAAGATTCTCTATAGCTGATAGCTCTAGATGTGTAATTACATAATAATTAGCTCTGCTGGTTAATCCAATTTGTTGAGGTAAGGAATATATTTTGAATGATACAACTGCATGCTCTCATGGATTTCTCCCAAAGATTGGATTTTCAGTTTTTGGGAGTGTTAAAATTTTAGTTTTTTGATCTTTTCTTGAAAGGATATGAAATTGGAAATCCAAAATATCAAATTTTTGTTGAAATTATTTGACTTTTGGTTCAAAATTTTGAATGCAAGAGGTCCTGTTGGTCCATTTTTGACCTTATTTTTTTATATTATATTTTGTTGTCAGCAATGAATTTATGAATGTATGAAAACAGTGGATGCTAAATTTAGGGGGATTTTGCTCAAATGAAGATATTTTTGTATGGATATTTAGTATTAGTGCGATTTCTGCTTCTTGAATTGGGGCAAATAGCACTTTGATATTGCTCTTGGACTTTAGAACAAGTTTCCCCTTCTATGAAAACATAGCATAGTAATTTTAGGAAACATGTGAAATTATAGAAGTTTCTATGTTGAATTCTCTTTATTTCACTTTGAATCATTGTCAAGGAATTGCTCTTGGGAACTTGGTGCTGCATGAGGAATTTGTTCGGGTCATTCAAATGTTTGGAGGTTAACTTTCTATTTGGAGATTCTAGAAAATAAGTTGTAATCATGAATTTTTAGCAAGAGAGGTTTGTTAGGTTAGTTTAATCAGCCTAGGTAAAGGAAATTAGTTACTGTTGTGGAATTTCTTGATTAAATTTCTTACTTTGGTAGTGGTTTTTTATTTTGTATGCATTTGACTGAATCTGGTAGTTGGGATTTTTTTTTTAAATTTTTTATTTTGTCATTCGTTTGCCATCACCCTCTCTACTGAGATAATGACACAAGTGAAAAGTGGTGGAAAGGGAAAAGATTTGTTGTTAGAGAAAATATGTACTGTTGGATTAGGAATTAGCTGAGATAGCTGCAACGTTTTTTTAGCGATTAATATTGATGTTTCATTGTACTATATGCGTAGGATATATGAATGCAATAATAGGGATTGAGTTTCAAGGGTGTGTGCTTTGTGCATCAATTGGTGAATGAATTTGATTGGTTCTGTTTTTTGGGATTGAAATTTGAAACAAAATATTCATGCTTTTGTGGCGTAAGTAGGTGAATGAATTTGATTGGTTTTGTGTGCCTACGCTGTTAAAGAAAAGTCGAAACAAAACGAAACGAAAAAGAAAATTAAAAGAGTGATCAAGCAATAATGAATAACCTTAACAGCGTTGGTGACCCTGAGTAGTGTGAACTCGAATCATAGGTATTGACCTTTCCTTTTTGTGTTGAATTTTTTGTTTTTTTTTAATGATTTAGTGTCAGATTTGAATTGGGGAATTGCTGCTGTAATAGGAGAGCTTGATCATGGTGATTGAGGTGTTAATTTGATTTTATGTTTACTTTGGAGTTTTGGATAATGATCATGAATTTTGGTGGAAGATATGAGATTTCTTTAATTTTTTGCTTGGTTAAATATGACAACTACCAATACATACGACAACGTCGTCCTTCTCAGTTCTCCCCCACAAACTCCTTTCTGTTTGGATCATCTCAATTTTCTAACTTATTATTACACTCATTCCTCTGTCCTTTTCCTGTTTAGTTGATATAGAATGAGGTTTTGGTTGTTTTAGAGAATTTTTGTTTTCTTACCTGTAGAAAGAAATTGAGGATGTATGTTTTTGTGTTGGAAGGGTGGAGGCAGTAGTTTTTGAAAAAAAAGGTTGTTTTTTCAATTTTTTATTTCTGTGTTCATGGTTGTTTCAATGGATCTTCGTCTAATATAAATAGAGCTAAATTGAATGCCTATTTTTCTGCATTGTATTTGCCTTTTTAAATTCATTCCTTTTTCTTGATGAATGTAATTTGGTTTTGCAGGTCAAACTTTTCCAGCAAGAAGATTTAAGCTTTGAATTGGATCGAGGTATAAATGTTTCCACTTATTTAGTGTGCTCAATTGATTATTGCTTTGAATGCATTGTGGTTGGAACATGATTTAGTACGTATTTGATTGACAATGAGAAATTGAGAGATTTATGTTTTGGGATCAGACAGAATCCCTTTAACCACAGATACTATTTTTGGTGAGTTTTTTTTAGTGAGACAATGATGTTATTATAATGCAGTTGGTTATTCTTTTTTGTAGTTGATCAAATCCAAATGTTTTCTTACATGCCCTTCGATATAAATACTCACAGCTCTCTCTCTCTCTCTCTCTCTCTCAGCTCACACACGCACACAGAAACTACCACATTGCTAGAAAAGCTGAAGAAACACTAGAATTTAGTGAGTCTGAAACGTTGAGGTTGACATTTAAGGTTCTCTTTCTTTCAGAGGCTAGAAAATATCTGGATCTGCTTCAAATTTCAATTTTTGTGGCCAGATTTTTGTGCCCCGTACGGTTTGTGTTGTGCTAAAAGCATGATTGTTAACGTTTGAGTGGTTTAAGGGAATGTCCAACTGAGTTGGGAAGTTTTTGTTCATTCTGTTAAGGTGAGCGTCTTTGGAGGTATTGTGGATATATTGTCCGAATTGGGGTTTTTAAAGTTGAAATTTAATCTGGGATTCTGAATTTTTTTTACAAGTTAGTAATTTGTGGAGTTATTCTTAGTTTTTATCAAGAAATTTGATTTAGGTTTCATATATTTTGTGAAATTAGATACTCTTTTTTGTGAAGATTTTTTTAATCTGAAAATGCCCGAGAGTTGAATGTGACAAAGTAAGCAGATCAGCATGTAAACCAGAAACCAAGAAGCTCAAACCCTGAGAATTCAATGGTCAGCCCTGTTTTCAGATTAGTTTGCTTCAGTTTATTTTGTCGTAATTTAATTAATAACATATTAGAGCGAAACCCTGTTGGTTATTGTGCTTTTTGTATAATAACATGTATTTTCTCTTCTTTGCATTTAGCAGTAATCAACCTTAGTTATGCGACTCAAAATCTGAGGTAGCCTCTGGACCTTATTCTCAGGAAGGTAGCATTTTCCAATTTTTCATCTTTACTTTTTTAGTTATTTTCTGTTCGGTTGTTGAGAAAGTGATGGAAATATAGTTATCTGTAAATATGGAAACTTGAATCTGTGCAGACTCCTTGGTTCTGTATTGGGTTCTGTGGAGGTTTAGGGTTTTAATTCTGAATGATTTGTTCATATTTGTGTTGAATTTATTCAACTTAAATGTGTTTTATTTATCCGATTACGCCTGAAACAGCTGATTCCTGCAGCAACGTGCGGACGTAATTTCTAATTTATAACTAAGATAGTGCTCTGTCAACTATACATTATTTTAATGAGTCTAAAAGGACCCTACGCGTTAATGATGAGTCAATATTATATTATATATTTTGCCATAATCTTAGTATTAATTTATTAGTTATTTTGTGAGAAATTTGATACTTTGAATGATATTTCCAATGTAGAACATTTGACTTTCTCTTGAGCAAAAAATAGCCAAACTAATGAATTTTAGAGTGATTCCAATTGGAGGAAGTTCGTGTGTTTCTCAACATGCTCGTATCTAACTTTCATACTTTTCTACCAGTTAACAAACGTCATTCTAGCTTAGTTCATCTACATATTTGGAGTTCTTCTTACTTTTGACAAGTTTCATGTGATTTATCAAGGTAATTCAATCCATTGGATCCATACCTTGCATGAATTGTGTATTGTGATTGAGCCACTGATGAGACGATGGAGATCAAATCTTCTGCATCTAAAATGGGTGTGGCTTCTCTATGGCCCAAATCATTGACTGACAAGTGTTTATAAACTTAAATGTTCTTAACTTTGTTGTCAGAAACTTAATATGTGTCAGTCAATGATTAGGACTATAGAGAGGTCACACCCATTTTAAATGTAGAAGATTTGGTATTGTGACGATGAGCTGCAACTTGCCTATGTTCTTGAGCTTTGCGAGTGATTGAGCATCAGGACAACTGCCACTTCAAAGACAAGAAGTGCGACAAAGCTGTTATTTTATACTTCGTTAATATTTGGATTCTTGGCACGTAGTAGGATATAAAACAAAGTCCTTAAGTTACTAGACGAAGAAAAGAATCAAAACAAGCACAATCTTCTAAGAAGTCAAATAACTTAGGGAAATGGCTACTAGTTAATATGAGAAGCGAGAATGTCTACTAGTTATGAAGCATGTATGTTGGGGTCCGGAATTTAGCGAGTATGACCACAACTAGTTTGCCTCAGCGAAAAATAAAATTAAGAAAAAGCTTAGAGGACGTTAAGGGTCATGCGTGTCCATGAAATAACGATAACAGGTATCATGTTTTCCACGTGCACGGTTAACTGGTGGTTGGTATACCAATAGGTTGCCATTAAAGTTTCTTATTAATGCGAAAAGCAGCTCATTGATCGATCTCTAGTTCTGTGCATATCATTTGCATGTACTGTACATATGATGTGCATGTGGTGCACATATAGTGTATATGGTGATGATATCACAGGTGATGACGCCATTTTTCTGATTTCGAAGAGAGCTTTGAGCTTTGGGTTAGCTCAGATTTGTGAACATATCATGTGCATGTGTGTGCATGTTGTGTACATACAGTGAGCATATCCTGAAAAATTCATCCAACAAAACACCAATTTTTGCCAATTTTTAGTGAACACCATCACAACATTAAAACGAGGTAGGGAATCCTATGATATAGAAGAGGGAGGATTGATTAAATTTTGTTTCACTATTACTTCATATAGCTTCTAGGTTTATTCTCCCATTCCCTAAATATGAAAAAGCTCACTTCTTTAATCCCACTAATATGCAAATATTGGAAGGAAGAGTGCAAACAACAAATGAGTTTTCTCATTTTTGGTCAATAACAAATGGGTTTTCTTGTTTTGGTGGTGTTGACCCCTCTAGCCCAGGATGTTCGTGGAGAGAGAGAGAGAGAGAGAGAGAGAGAGAGAGAGAGAGAGAGAGAGAGAGAGAGAGAGAGAGAGAGATGAGGGCTTTGTTCCCAATAGACATCGCATGTGTAGCAGCAGTTAATGACTAGGCTTTGTTCCCACACTCAATGCAAGTCCAATGGTGGTGGTCTCGAGCCTCAATTGTTTGCTATGTTGCTAAAAAATGGCCAGAAAACTCCCGCTTGCTGGAGTTTTGATCCCAACAATTAGGGATGAGATTTGTGACAAGGCTAGGTGTTTTTTACTACGAGGACGAGATGAAATTTGTGGTGGCTTCGTTTTGGAAAATGTTGGTCGAGACGACTATGCACCGCGTGTGCACAGTGGTGCACAATGAGAATAGGATAGAGAGAGCATGAGGGACAAAGTGAGAGAAGAAAGAGGGAGGGACATAGGGAGAGTAGAAAGAGAAAACAGAAAATGGGAAGAAATAACTTATTTATATACAAGGGCAATTATGTCATTTCAAGGTATAGGAAAAAAGGAAAACTAATGAAAAGGGCTTGAAAACTTTGAGTTTTAATGATAAGGACAAAATAAAGGGTAAAGTGAATAGTACCAGGATTGATTTTTTAGTGTAAAAATGTGGTTTTTCGTTAAAGTGAACAGTACCGGGTGCTTTTCATTAAAGTTCCCTAGGAAAAATCATGTTTTTGTTCAATTGTTGTGCATGGTGTATACATGCCGTGTGCATATTCAAAAAATCCTATTTTTGTCCCAAGATTAAAAAAATATCCTATTTTAAGTAATTCCCAATAATTTAAGATGCAAGTAAAACTTAACTTACTCAAAAGACTGTCATTAGTAGAATCCAACAATGACATGCTTGTTATTCTATATATCATTTAACTTGAATTGTCTACTTAGCCTCTCATTCACATTGGTATAGAACTCTATGAAGAGAACCTAGCTAGTTCATTTATTTTGGAGTATCATCAGTTGCATTGGATCAATACTATTTCTTTGTCAGAAGAAGAGTATGATTTGTTTTAATTTGGTTTTTTCAACCCATCCAAATATCACGTGGTCTCCGAAGATGTCATGTTCTTCAAATAATATTTCAGTCGCGGTACTTAAAGGCCTGTTTGGTATCCTATTTGAAAATTTTTATCATTTCTCAAAACATTTTTTAAGAACATTTCTTGAAAACAGTTTTTTTGAAGACTCAAAAACTTGATTTGTTTCTAATTAAATTTTTTTATATCTTACGACTTAAACTATAACAAAGAGATCTAAAAAGAGGAGGTCGCAAGAGAGGTAGAAAGAGAAGAGAGGAGGAAAGAAAGTAAGATATGATTTAAGGAAAAAGAAAGAAGAGAGAGAATCAGACGAGATAAAGAGGAAGATGAGTGAGAAAAAGAACCTAAAAAATAAAAAGAGCGGATTGGAGGAGAGACGAAAAAGATAAAAAAAAAAAAAAAGAGTATAGAGAAAGAAGAAAAGAGAGAGATTTGGAGTGAGAGTGGAGGAGGAAGAGAAAAGAAAGAAGTGAGTTTAAGTTTAAAAACTCTAAAAACCCACTTTTTATGTTTTTAGATAATAGACTATATTTTTGAGTTAGTCTTGAGTTCAGTTTTTGAAAATAGTCCTACCAAACAAGTTTTTAAGGCCTAAAACTTGAAAATTGTTTTTGAGTTTAAAAAGTTGTATTCAAGTACACTACCAAACAGACTCTAAATATCTTGTAAAACAGATTTTGGGTGCATCCAATTCATAAAACTCGTTTATGCACGTACTTCAAATATGAAATGTGAGTTATTTAACAAAAAAAATAAAAATAAAAAAAATGAAACGTGAGTTGTTATTACAAGTCCAGGTCAATGTTTGGTAGCTTGGTCATGTGAATTCTGACAAGGAAAAGATTTCAATTTTTAATGCAAAAGAAAGCAAACCACATCACTGATTATTGACTGGTACACAGGTTATGGATATGGATTTCATCCGAATTTAAATTATGAGAATTCTAAAATTCATCATATCTTAATTATTTATCGTGCATTATACCGTTAGAAATCATTTAACTTTTTTTATTTAAATTTAAATACAAATAATACTTAACGAAAACGGACTACACGATATATGATGAATAGTTATAATATAAAGATCTATTTGGAGAGAATCCTCCTCCCAAAGAAATTTCACATATGCAAATTTCTGCATTTCTTTAATATTTTTCAGGGGAAATAGTAGCTGGTTTTTTATTATTAAAAAACATTACAATCTTCTAAAAGAACGTTACTAATGATATTTGGGAGCTCATCATACTTACAATTAGATTTTAGTTTTGTATTTTTAAATAAAAATCTAACAATTCACACACTCAAAATATCTTTTGAGCCAAAGTACCGTAAAAAATTCCTCCATTAATGTTGGGGGGAATATAGCCACTTAACCCTTTATTAGGGGTGGGCAAGGTCTAGTTTGGTACGGTTTCGGTGCGAAATATAGCCAAAGTACCATAAAAATCCCTCAAGGTGTTTTTGTACCTGCCTTGGGTGCGAGAAGGCTCACCTTTGTTCATCTCATTCGTTTTGTTTTTGGAGGAGATCTTGACGGGCACGGAAGAGGTCTTGATGGGGGTAGTATGGACGGCAAAAGCTTCTTTGGCGGGCTTTTTCCTAGTCTTGTTTACCTTTGGGGCAAACACCTTATCCTTTTTGAAGTCAGTGATCGGCTCCTTTTTCCCATGATTGGCAATACTCAGCCCCATATCATGGGATCGAGTTGCCAATTCTTTAAATGTTCTCGGTTTTATGCCTTGGAGGATGTAATGTAACCCCTAGTGCATGCCTTGAACACACATCTCAATGGCGGAGGTTTCAAAAAGCCAATCTTTGCAATCCAGACTTAATGAACGCCATTTATTGATGTAGTCGACAATAGGTTCATCCTTCCACTATTTCGTACTCGTCAGCTCCAGCATGCTTATGGTGTGGTGAGTGTTGTTGACACGTCCCAACCCTGATATTCCTTGAATACCCGGATAAGCACGTGCTAGTCGACACCCGAGGGTGACGAAAGCCATTTATTGACTACAAGAGTAATGATTAGGAGGAAATATTCATGAATAATCATTAGAATCTAAAGATAATAAACAAAGTTTAAGGAAAAGTCTAGAGTGCACAGAATACGTTCTAATTCAAGATCACAAAAGGAAAGATCATTACAAGATATCACCCAAGTGAGTGATAGACTGCTACTGGTAGAGGAATGCCTCGTACGTTGTGTCGTAGTCCTCGTTTCTAAGACTTGAATGGAGGCGAAAAACAAAGGTGAGTGGACCAAGTTCATAAATACAATAATAATAAAACAGTTATCAATATACTAAACCCCACATTTTATATAAAGAAAACCACTAGTATAATAAGTGATAGGTTTCCTGAAAACCCTAGCATGCCAAA